AAGTTTTTGCATGCAAAAAAAAAGAACGTTTCTTCTATAAAGGAGCAAAAATACAGATCAAAGTTTGTGCATGTCAAAAAAATTCATACTGAAGCTGCCTGCCCATTAGTGTTCCATTTACAATTTGATCCAATCGAGTTTAGCCTCAGATGTCAAGCATCAACAATAGTACTTGCATCTGATCTAAATCGGAGTTCAAAATAACAAGTTGAACTAATCATCTTTTAGGAACAGATTAAAAGAATCATCTACAACAATGAACCTAAGACAGAAACACCGCATGACAAGCACAGAGATCAATGACTCATAAAACCTTCAAAACAGAAATTTTATTCTAACTTTCAAGGAAAGAGTGAAAGATGTTATTCTCCAGATATATATATAACAAATGTCTGATCAAATAGTAACCTAACTTGGCTTGCTGCTTTTACTGAATATATATATATATATATATATATATATGGTTCTGGGCAGAGCCAACAGGACATCTAGTTACTAGTTAGAGACCTATGTCGAATTTGCAACAGAAGTTAGCCAGTGATACAGCTTCCTCTGTAAGCAGTAGCGTAATCATATTATATTTTTCTACAAGCAAGAGAAATGGGAAGAGGAGACATTTTGTACATTAAAAAAAACAAATGTCAATTCCTGGGTATGATCTCTGGTCATCAGGGATCTGTATGATACAAGAACTCGGAACTGAACTCTAGAAAGGCAAAACCGTGTCCATTTGATGAAGACCCCGAACCACAGTAGCACCAACAGAAAACACTTGATATTCCAGATGGGCAATATATTGGGGACAACTGACAAGCAAGCTCCCAGCTAGTCAGAACGACATGTAGAACAATGTGGCCTTGAACACATATAGAAGGGTTAATATGACAACAAACTTTACAGAATAACCTGAGATAAATTCTAGGGGAATTACAGATGTCTGGCAAAAACACTAAAATGGCAAAGCTCTTATAACCTCTAGGAATGTGATCTTGAGCTGATTTGACGGCTTAATCACCACACTTATGAGCTCATCCCTACATCAAGCAAAGGAGTAGAGCACTCCGCATTTAGCATGTGCAACACGTCACCACCAAAATTCATTCCCACAGCATCCTTGTGAAACTGAGACAAATGTACAGAACTGGAATGGCCGCAGTTCATGGAGTAGAGCGAGGCCTTACCTACCTACCTATCTGGAGACGTGAAGCGGGCCGCGTACGCCCGGGGCTTGGCCTTGCCACCGAACCGTCAATCCTCCCGATGATCCAGCCAGCCGCGCGCTCCCGGTCCCGGTCCCGTCCGGGGCCGGCTCCACACGCACCTGGACCCCGTGCCGTAGCTGTGCAGGGCGTGACATGTCTGCAGCGAGCGCTGGGCGCTGCATCTACTACGACGGGCTCACCGTTCGCTGCCGCAGCTCTGGACCGAGTTCTGATTCAAGTCCGGCGGGGCTCCGGGCTCTATCCCTTCTTGGCTTCTTGGATTATCGCCGGCAGTTATCTCGCCCCTCCCTGCACGCGTATCCAGGCCCTTTATTGTTTGAAAATGACCTGTGACGGTGCCTTCATTCTGCGTATCAGGTTCGCCCTTTTTGAGCGAGAACGACCTCACCTCTGCTAGCTTGGTCGCCATCTTCAACCATCGACGCGCGGCGAATCTTTGATGTTGGTGCATTTTCTCTCCCCATATGGCAGGTCTGGACATATATATAAGAAAAAAAACAGCTTCAGGTTTAAATTGAGACCTGAAAAGTTGGTCTCTAGGTCCCCTTGTTTACTAATTTCTCGCCTCTAAATTACAATCACTCAGGAACGAAGCCAGAAAAAAATTTAGGCCTAATTTAGTTGGTGAATTTTTTGAGAAATTATATTGTAGCACTTTCGTTGTTATTTGATAATTAGTGTCCAATCATAGTCTAATTAGGCTTAAAAAATTCGTCTCGTGAATTTCGTCTAAACTATGTAATTAGTTTTATTTTTTATTTATATTTAATGCTTCATGCATGCGTCCAAAGATTCGATGTGACGGGGAATCTTGAAAAATTTTGCAAAATTTTGGGAACTAAACAGGCACTTAAGAGGGACTGAACAAAAGAATAGAGGTTTTTTATCTTCTCTTAACCTTAGCTCCTCTTACCTAATACATATATGCATAAATTTTAAGAGATGGCTTAGGGGGCTCCACGTGCCCAGGATCGGTAGGAAGGGCTAGACCCCCCAGCCCCACCGCTGGCTCCGTCGCTGCAATCACTTGTTAGGCACCATCGATGGATACTACTAATGCTCTTAGTGGTTCTAGTACAAATAAAATGATCTATATAGACTAAAAAATATTGATACTATTATTTATATAATGCAAACTATCATGCATCATCTTTATTTCCTCTACTTTTTTTAGCATGAACAACCTTCTCTTTTCCTAAACATACATAGCTTCTCTAAGCCAATATAATAAATGTAGATTACCTACTTTTTTTATCCGATCCTACATGTCATCTAGGACTACTAGTAAAAAAAAGTTACATTGGAGAAGGTCTTAATGACATGTTCTGTTCGCTTGTGCTACTTTTCAGCTATAAAACGGTATTTTTCTCTTCCCACACCCCCACACCCTAACCCCACAACATTTTAGTATAACTATCTTCGTAAGGCCCCGTTTAGATTCCAAAAAATTTTGCGCAGTACCCGTCACATCGAATCTTGCGGCACATGCATGGAGTACTAAATGTAGACGAAAAAAAACTAATTACACAGTTGGGTGAGAAATCGCGAGACGAAACTTTTAAACTTAATTAATCCATAATTAGACACTAATTACTAAATACAAACGAAAGTGTTACAGTAGCCAAAATCTAAAAATTTTGGATCTAAACGGAGCCTAAGTTAAATTTTTGAATCTAAACGGAGACTAAGTTAAATTTTTGAATCTAAACGGAGCCTAAGTTAAATTTTTGCGTAAGCGAACCATGGTCGATGATACGCTAGTAGCAGTCTAGTACGATGAAATCGCGTGCTGCAACGCCTACGCGGCTAGAGGCTTGCCAAATGCCAATTGGAAAGGCCTGCGGGGCTGCATCGTAGTCGTGGTACAGCAAAGTGAGAGCCACCAGAGCGGACCCCAGCGTCCCATGTGGCCTGCCCCCTGCGTGGACAGTGCACAGCGCTGCACTGCTGCTACAGCGATGCTGCATGCCTGTCCCTGCGTTGCCCTTTTGTAGACTCTAGTCAGTCCAGAGGCAGACGCCAACGTGCAGTCAGAAACCAGCCATCTACTCAGATAACTGCGTACTGTAAAAGAACTCCAGAAAGACCGAAATACTGTAATGTAACACATCGAGCGTACAGTTTATGCTGAGATAGGTATCGGCCAAAATAATACGTAAGAAAAATGAGCGTTTAAAATTTGGTCTATAACCATCAAATAACCTGAGAGCGCGTTTAGTTCTAAAATTTTTTCTAAAAAATGCTACAGTACCATCACATCGAATCTTGCAATACGTGCATGAAACATTAAATGTAAACGAAAAAAAACTAATTGCACAGTTTGGTTGGAAATTACGAGACGAACGTTTTGAGCCTAATTAATCCATAATTAAACACTAATTGCCAAATAAAAACGAAAGTGCTACCGTACCTAAATTTCAACTTTTCCTCTAACTAAACATGGGCTGATTGGATAGCTAAAACTAAGACCGCAAATCTTAACTGACTCAAGTTTTGCAGTTGTTGCGTCTTTATTGAACATACTAGGACCCGTAGGAGTATTGGGGCGGCGGGTGTTTTTTCAGCTGATTTCTGTTGATTTAATAATATTCTGTAAGAGAGAATAAGGTGAAACCGACTGATAAGACGGGTTGATAAGTTTAAGCTTTGCTAGCTTATGCTGTTATGCACCAATGGTCAAGTGCGGCTGTGTTCAATGCACAAGTTTTCTTACGTTAGTAAATTCGTTTTTTTTTTCCTTTAGAAAATGGAGCCCACTGCCCACTTTTCTTTCACTATATTTATCGTACCTACATGAAAATTCAGAGTTTCAGATAGTTATATATATTTTTCAATGATATGGAGAATACTCTATCTTAATAAGCTTAACTTCTCGTTTCCTGATACGCAATACCTGTGACTGCACTCTTCAATCACAGTTTATACGGCCTAGTCCTATTATAAGTAAAGAAAACATAAGCGCTCGTGGATGAACTTCACGAGGGGCTGCGTTTTGTTTACATAAAGAGAGACTGAGTTTCTTCACATAAAGAGAGATCAGATTAGAGCTTCTGATTTCTAGCGAAGCATGCTCGTAAAGTTTTATTGTCAGCAGTGTGGCTGCGACATATACCTGACCTTGCTATAAGTTTAGTACTAAAAATAATAATTGACATAGAAGTAATTCTTTCTGATTAATAAGGTTAAGCTTTTCTTAAAAAATACCAAATTCTCTCCATCACTAATATACCATATCTGCTTCTGCCTTGATTTTCCTCCATCAAGCTGAATCTCAGCATTCTCATGAGCCAACGATGAAGATAGTTGTCTGAAAACATATTGAGGCACCTGAAATATAGTAAGTTCCCTAATATGCACATATTCCCTCTGTCCCTTTATAACTGTTGTTTTCACTTTCCGATAAACAACTTTGACTAAATGTATATAAAAAATATTAATATTTATGATACATAATTAATATCATTAGATAGATCGTTGAATCTATTTTTGTAATAATTTATTTAGAGATAAAAAAATATTGTTAATATTTATACAAATTTAGTTAAATTTATAGGCCGTGGCGACAGATATTTACTGAAGGTGTTCAGCTACCAAGTTGAGAGACAAGAAAAAAGGCACAGCATAATGGGAGCTAGAAAAATGAATAAAAATTACAACAAAAATCAGGCCGCTTTTATAAATGGTTCCACCCCGGGGGCCAAGGTCTGTCCCCATCAGCAGCTCCTCCCCACAAGCCCTGTCCACCACAAACAAACTCGTACGAGACAGAGCCAGCCCATGGCTTCTCGCGACGGCGCCGCCACTTTCCAAGTCTACCGGCCCATGCCCGCGCCGTCGCCGGCCCCGCCGCCGATGTCTCTGGCGGCCGCAGCCGCAGCTCCAGCCGCCGCCGACGCCGCGGCGCCCGCGCCGAAGAAGGCGAAGAGCCCGGGCGGCGCGGGCAAGGACCGGCACAGCAAGGTGAACGGGCGCGGGCGGCGCGTGCGGATGCCGATCGTGTGCGCGGCGCGCGTGTTCCAGCTCACCCGCGAGCTCGGGCTCAAGTCGGACGGGCAGACCATCGAGTGGCTGCTCCGCCAGGCCGAGCCCTCCATCCTGGCGGCCACGGGGTCCGGCATCACCCCGGCCGTCTTCTCCTGCTCCTCCGCCCCGTCCACCACCTCCGCCTCCGGCGGCGCCGGCGCCGGCGCCTCCCTCACGCTCCTCGGGAAGCGCCCGCGCGAGGAGGAGCACGAGGCGGCGGCGGCGGCGCCGCCGTTCTGGGCGAGCCTGCAGGCGCGGCCCGTGGCGGCGGTGTGGGGCCTCTCGCCCGCGCAGGAGGCGGCGGCGCAGGCGTACGCGTCGGTGGCGGCGCAGGGCCACCACCACCTCAACCTGCTCTCCGTGCTCTCCGGCGCCACGAGGCCGTCAGAGGAGGAGTCCCGGTGAACGCCGCCGCCGCCGCGGCATTGTTGCTGCATAATCCCATGCGTCGACGCGTGGCATGCCGCTTGCCGTGCTTTTGCGTCTCGTTTTCGTGCATCTCCTGGGGTGCATTTCGCGTGTTTTCCCTGTGATTTTGCGGTGTGAGGAATGCGGCGAGCTGAAGAAGGATCAAGAACACGCGAGATCGGATCGGGGTAGCGGTTGTAGATAGCATTCGTCAGGTTTGTGTTTGTGATGAATGGAGCTAGTGCGTCCTCGCCGCAGCGTGTGTGCGGTGGTTTTCTGGTGTTATTATGTATGCATGCCGAACTGTCGACTGATCTGAATTCTAACACAATGTCCTGGTGTGTTATTCTTCATGACATTGCCTGCTGTTTGAATAGAAACCTTTGCCCTTTGAGAATTCGGAATCCATCATTCAGTTGATGCTGAGGTCGATCATGGCTGGTGAGATTGACTTCCCTTCTGCAACCGTGAAAGTGAAACAATGATGAAGCACTCCCACATTGTTCACCATCTCATACGGAGCACATATTCTCATGAGCCGCTCATCTCATGGCAGCTTGCTGCAACTTTCGTTTCCTGCGAAGTGCGAACCCAGGCCACATGCTGTTAGTCGTTGACAGGGAACAGGATAGGCCATGCTATCCTCTCCTTTCCCTCTCCTGTCCTACGTGAATTGCCTTGTCTCTGCACTGTGGCAAAAGCTGCAGCTCCTGCCCTGCTCTGCGCTGCGTCTGCACTTTGCATCTGAAAGGTTCAGGCTGTTTCGGGGGCATGATTCGTGTCAAGCTGTAGGTCACTCACTCAAAAGGCGTCCAACCTTTGTACAGACCATGCTCGCAGACTTCTCTTTACGGTATCAAGTACTGTACTCCTACGTAGTAGTATCAACGGTACTACACTGTTCCAAATTCGCAGACTGGTCTCTTACTAACAAATCTTCTAGCACCAATACCAGAACCAGTGCATAACTTATTGGCTATGATACAATATTTTTCTCTCACGACAAATCTGCTTTCAGCTCCCTCTCGACGCTCTTCCAAATTCAACGAGCCAGCCTTTTCGCTTGCTCGTAAACGATCGTAAATTTCCAGCCAGGAACAGTATTTTCCCCTCACACCAAATCAGCCAGCAGTAAATAATCCACGATACGATACGGCCTTCCGAACATGCCGATGAATGATCAGCGTGGCAATGCTGAGAGAGGACTGAGAGGCAGGCAAACCGCTGCTGCACCACAACTGCAGGGACCTCAGGCTCAGGCTGGTCCATCGTGTAGTACCGTGGGTTGGTGGCGGCCAGCTAGCGAGCTTCATGAACCAATGGATATTCCTTCCAATGTCTGTTGGAGCTGGTCCCACGCGACATGTCAGTGGTGCGTACTGGAAGGGTCCCGTTCGGTTCCGGGTGAAAAGTTCTGGGTTCGACTTGTTTCGGTGTGGCATAGTTCTTGGTGTACGTGTCGAACTTTTAGAGGAAAAGAAATAACTTCTGGTCTACAATTAAATCCGTGCACTATTACGGATGCGGGGATAGCTCAGTTGGGAGAGCGTCAGACTGAAGATCTGAAGGTCGCGTGTTCGATCCACGCTCACCGCATTTTTTTTTCCAGTTTTTCTCTGTATATGCAGCAATGTGTTGTGTCTGTTGTTCTCTGTATATGCAGCAATGTTTTTTTTTTTTGTTTTTCCCTTTATATGTATATGCAGCTATCTTCATTTGTATATGCTACAATGTGTCCGCATGTTTTTTCCTTGTTTTTCTTTTTCTTTCTCTGTATATGCAACAATGTGTTTTTCTTTTTTTTCCCCTTCATCTGTATATGTAGCAATGTGTTTTTTCTTTGCTCTTTTTCTTCTTTTTTTTGTCTTTGTATATGTAGCAATATGTTTTTCTTTCTTTTTCCTGTTTTTGTTCCTCTGTATATGCAGCAATGTGGTTTTTGCTGTTGTTTTATCTCTTTTCTAGCTCTGTATATGTATATGCAGAAATGTGCGTTTTTTCTTCCTCTATATATGCAACAATGTGTTTTTGCTGTCGTTTTATCTGTTCTTTTCTTCCTCTGTATATGGAGCAATGTGTTTTTTTGCTGTTGTTTTTATCCCCCTCTATATGCAGCAATGTGTTTTTTACTGTCTTCTTCTCTTCCTCTGTATATGCATCAATGCATTTCTCTCTCTTCACTGTATATGCAGCAATGTAAAACAATAGTAGCTGTATTTATATTAAAGGATATGAACAATGATAGGACTACTACCTGTTTATACACAGAAGGATATGCAGTGCTGGTTTGCTAGAGACTAGAGTAGCCAACTGCGGAACTGCCCATTTTTTCCCATGCATCCGAAGTTTCACGTATGGATGGTTTCCTTTGAGTTGTTCAGTTCAGAATTTTCGATTGCTGCAAGTCAGTTCAGATTGCCCAGCCTTTTGTTGGGGATTGGGGATTACCAAACCAGGATCTTGTCCGAGCAACGATATCGTGCCTCTCGTTTTCCTCCTCTTTTCTCTCTCTCAAGGATAGTTTGATGCCATTGCTATATGTGCCTTGGATCATTTCCAACCGTCTTTCTTGAACCCATTCTTTTAAAAAAAATTATATGGAGCGTCATTTTACTAAAACTTGTTCTTTATAACTTTCCGCACTCCAACAATTTCTCTATAATTTGTTGGCAGTTTGGAGAGCCAGCTTCTATTAGTAGCGACTGAAAAACTAGAAATAGAAAATGAGAATATTTAGAGATCTAGTCGAAGAAGCTATTGGAGAAAAAACACCAAAAACTCTATTCATAATTCATATCAATATAAGGATAAAGAAACTTTTAGAGTTGTTCTTAGAACATAAATATGCATATTTATATTATATGATTGTAAAAAAGGAAAAGAAAAGGAAGCTTCTTGAGTACAAAGTAAAACATATCCCCATGCAGTAGGGTCTAAGGACAAACCTTTTAAATCAGCATATTTATATTATAGTATTATGACAATTAAAAAAGAAATTCCTGAGAACATTTTTTTTTTTTAAAAAATGCCCCTATGCAGGATCGAACTACAGACCTTTAGTTTACAAGACTGACGCTCTACCACTGAGCAATAGGGGCAGCCCTTGTTGGTGCTTTTCAAAGATAATATACATCTGAAGATTATAATTGGCGATGACACATGACAGTGACATTCATGGCCAAGATCCACACTTTAACGGCGCGTAAGTTTCACATGTCCCGAGCACTAAGAACGGCAAAGATGTCGCTGTCTTTTAGTTTAGATGGTGGTGTAGATCCTGGGTCTTTTATGTCTTCTTAAGGTTAGTCGCAATATGGTTTTGCGTTCCATTTTTTTGTTGAGTGATCAACTACAGGAACCATAGCATTCGATCTCTACCCTGGCCAATTGCTTGTATTGTGCATCAATCATTACAGGTTTTGATTTTTTTTTTCCTCCGGTTATCTAGTTCTCAAAAATTGAAGCTCAGCAAATTTAATCCATATATGACAAATTACCTCATATTAGTTATATAATCAGACACGAGCGGATCCAGCAATCTGGCGAGCTGTGACGGCTCGTGCTGGGCGGTGGCTGAGAACCCCTCTCACCTCCCTTGGCTATCGACTGTGGACGCTTGAGTTCCGTTTCCAGACCGTGGAAATAATGCTGAACTCTACTCCTATATCACACAAGGTGACTACTTAGGTCGTGAATGGCTAAAGCATGTACTTCGCGATTCTTTCAGGTTCCTAACTAATAAGCTGTCACCAGCACTCACCCAAGAGCCGATGAGGCACGATGATCTCGCTACACAGCCAAGAGGGAATCACGGAGGTTTGTGTAACTGTGCTGGCTGCCAGCGATAGCCAACACGATGACAATGACTCAATGAGGTCCACTTTAGAATGGAGGAAAATTTCTGTTTCCTTTTTCTGTGAAAAATAAATGGAAAAAGTCTACTTAACCCCCCTCACCTTTCATACTTGGTATACTTCACCCTCCAACTATGAAACCGTCTGTTTTACTCCTGAACTTTCTAAAACCGTCTATTTTACCCGTGGGCGGTTTTCTAAAACCGTCTATTAATTACAGACAAAATTGGATTTTCTAATTAATCTAAAGCTACAAAAAAAAAATTGTACTAAAGCATACAGGATTATATATTCACTGTGTAGATCTACTCATGTGGAGTACAATAAAATTAGATTTTTCATTTTATGATTTTTAAAAAATTCACCGAAAATAAATAAAAAAAGAAAAATTCAAAACCAACGACACTGTAGCAACCAAAAAATACTGTAGCAAACCCGCTGTTACTGTAGCAGCCCGCCGCTGAAAACCACCCAGGGGTAAAATAGACGGTTTTAGAAAGTTTAGGGGGTAAAACAGACGGTTTCATAGTGGGGATGAAGTAGACCAAGTATGAAAGGTGAAAAAGTTAAGTAGACTTTTTCCAAAAATAAACTGACTCATGCGAAATTTCTGTATCATTCCTACTTTCCAAATGGGCTACACATGATTTCTTCGTCATACAAATTAGTACTACAAAGTTTGCCACATGAATTAGTACTATAAATTTCGCCGTGAACTTTTGTCCTGGATCCGCCACTGTAATCAGATGCGTACCAATGATTTTACTTCTCTTCCTATACTAATAAGAGATAATATATTCTCATTGTGAGCTTCTGATTTTATTCTGGTAGTATAAGTTGAGAAAAATATATCCTACAATGTGGCTCATTATGACCTGCAAAAGTAACCTTTTTCGACTGTTGCATAGTCATTAGATTCTCGTATGTTAAATCTGAAGCCATATTTTACTAGAATTATATCTTTGGTATGCCATATCTTCTTGCCTCAATTACTGTAATGTAACTATATTAACTTGCGTATAGTAATTTTGCTCATATAAATGATATATCTATGCACACTATTGAAGGGTCCGTTCCATTCTGTTTGTTAGTAGATGCAGGCTAGTTCATTCAATCTATTTATCTCACAAAAAATGCAGGGAA